ATATATATATATATATATATATATATATATATATATATATATATCGCAGAGATGCAGCAGCAGCAGTAGCAGCAGCAAGAAACCTATTAATGGCGTTCACCTGGGGTGTATAGGGAAGGAGCCGTAATTCGATCGTCTAAACAGGCGAAATGCAACTCGGAAATATTTGCAAATGTTGCATCGGCTGGCTGCCCCCAGATGGCTCGAACGTCTGAAGCAGTGAGTCCTCCCTCTGCAGATTTGTCTTGGTGTATCTTCACCTTGCTGGGGTTGCTGAAGGTGTTTTCATTCATAGAAAAGCTTCTATTGCAGCTTTTGACAGAGAAATACAACACACAATAGACGCCTACCACATCGGCACCACTTCCGCCAGTTTCTGCTCCGCCTCTGTTAGCCCTGCATGCACATCATCGCTTCCCTTCAGAGGTGGAGATATGCAGGTTCTTTGAATGCCTGAGGCCCCTACCTTGATTGCAGTTGCAAATGGCTCGGTAGCTCTTGCCGTTAACCTTCAGAGTGCCTTGAATAAAGGGCTCCCCTCTTTGTATTCCGCTGTTGTCGTCGTTAGAACAGAAACAACAGCGACAAAGAAAACTGAAGAAAAAACAAAGCAAAACATTAGAGAGATAATTCATTCTTTTTTATCAAATGCTGCTGCTTTTTTAAAACGAATGGCCTCAAGCAATTGACAGATCAAACCTCTTTCCAGTTTGAATTCAACTATTTCAGAAACTCAGTTCAGGCATCTGCACATACACCCCAGAAGCCTCCGAAACTTTTCAGGTTTCTACCCTTCTTGTGTGTTGAATACTTCATTAAAATGAGCCTTTGGTGGTGCGATTAATAGCAATTTATGTTTATTACACTTGTATTAATTCAATGCAACAAAGAAAACAGCAGAAAATGCAATTATTATACAATTCAGCAATGCCGTTGGGTTGTTCAGCTCTGCAATCAGCTTCAAATGCTTCCCTGCTGATCTTATTCAATTCAAATTCTTTTTTACACTCTTTTCCTTATAGCCAATAAAAGAAACCCAGGCGATCTTCACAGTCTACTGGCATACGCATAAGGGCTCCTCTCCTCTATACATACATATTCACATATATATGCATGCATTTCCCTAACAAACAACTAAATGTATATTCTCTAGCAAGTAATTAAACTGTTTACTAAAGAATTTCCTTAATAAACAACTAAATATATATTGACTAACAAAAAACTAAAAGGTTTATTAATGAACCTACTTAATAAACAGCAGAGTATATATTCTCTAGCAAGTAAATAAACTGTTTAGTAATGAGTGAAATGCATAATAATGCTAAAGTCTATAAAGTTATATAAATGCTTTAGAAAGGAAAGACAACCTGCGGAAGGGTTTGATGTTGAAAAGGAGAGGAGAAGTGCGCAGAGGAAATTGTTTAAGAATTTGTTGATAAGAAGAGACGCCTAGAGTGAAGGCATTCTTTAAGAAACAAAACAAAACAAAAACAATAATAATGAATATAATAATAATAATAATGAATATTATTTTTATTATTAATATTCATACACAAATACAAATGGGGAGCTGCAGCTTTCTATAAGGGTGAAAGAAGCTAAAAATCTTCTTATTAAAATCACCCTCAATGCTGCACTGCTGCATTTAACCCAGCAACTGCCGGAGTATAGCAGGCGGCAGCGGGCATATGAAACAACTAATACTAATAATAATAATATAATATAATATAATAGATATATAATATAATATTCATAATAATAATAATAATAGTGATAATAATATAGACAAAAACAATATAACAGGTATAATGATAGCAATATCATTATCATACAAACATAAAGCATCTGTTGTTTTAGAAGAAAGAAGAAACAAGTATCGGCGGAGATGCATGCATATGCTGCATCTTTTATTATTTATTATAGACATATTCAACTAAGACAGAAAGCAGCATTATAACTACTCTCTTCAAACAGAAAAAACACAATAAACAAAAGCAAACAAAGAAAGCAAAACAACTAACTAATAACAACACCTTTAAAACAAAAAAAAACAAAATCAAAACAAACAACGCAAAAACAACTAACTAATAACAACACCTTTAAAACAAAAAAAAAACAATAAACAAAAACAAATCAAGACAACTAACTAATAACAGCACCTTTAAAACAAAAAATAAACAAAATTAAAAGCAAACAATTCAAGACAACTAACTAATAACAACACCTTTAAAACAAAAAAAAACAATAAACAAACTTAAAGCAAACATCGCAGAACAACTAACTGATAACAACACCTTTAAAACAAAAAAAAACAAACAAAATCAAAACAAACGACGCAGAACAAATAAACAACAAACACCAGCAAGCAGCAAAATAACAACAGCATCCCTTTAAAAAGAATAAACTATAAAATAAAAATAAACAATTAAAACAAACAACTGCGACAATAAGCACCAAACACCGAAAACAAATAAATAACAACAAACAAAACACGGAAAACAAACAAAATAAACAGCAGCGAACAAACATCAAAAAAAAACAACAAACACCGACGTCATTACTTCAAACAAAACAAACAAAACAAAACCACTTGGCTTCACTAAGAACAACAGCACAACTTCTTAAATGGTTAAAAGAAAGAAGAAAAGAAAAGACGTAGAGAATATAAAAAGAAATGTAATTGCATGCACCGCGCAAAGAAGAAGAAAAAACAAACAAAACTTCAAACTCAGCGCCGTAACAACAACAATGCAATGCGAGCTGCTGCTAACAGAACAACATATATATAAACATAATCAATATATAATATATATAATATATAATATATATTATATATATTATATATTATATATATTATATGTATTATATATATTATATATTGATATATATAATATAGATAATATATTAAATATATAATATATATTTTATATTTATATATATAAAGACGTAAGCAGCTGCCAGTAGAGGAGATTGAAGTTGTTGTCTTTAAAAGACAACGCCGAGACATCTTCTTCCTTCTTCTTTTTTCTTTCTTTCTCCTCCTCTCCACGACTATCATCTCCACCCCAAACCGCTGCGTGCGTCCACTTCGCCGTACTGCATGCATGCAAATGCATGCAAATGCAAATGCATGCAAATGCATGCATGCAAATGCATGCATGCAAATGCATGCATGCAAATGCAAATGCAAATGCATGCAAATGCATGCATGCATGCATGCAAATGCAAATGCATGGGGCGAATGATATGAATCAGAGCCAAGTGGCTTCTCCCTGCATCTCCACGAGACGTCTTAAAATAGGGTTTGTCTTGAGAGCGGGTCTCGGTAAGGCAGCAACAGTGTGCGTACACCGCATGCATACGATAGGGCTTCCTTCTGAATTGCTGCATGCCAATGATGCTTCTTTAGAAGAAGCATTATTAAGAATTGCTTCTGATGATGTCATTCTGTTTATCTTTGTGCTGCACTCAGCCTCAGCCGAAGCGCCTTCACATTCATTCAGCTCTTTCTTGATGTTAGTGCTGCTGTTGATATTCTTGTTGATGTTCTTTGTCTTGTCGGGAGCAGCAGCTGCTGCAGCAGCTCCTGCTGCTGCTGCTGCTGCTGCTGTTGGTGCTGCTGCTGCTGCTGCTGCTGCTGCTTCATCTCCCTCCTCCTCGTCTGCGGGGCCCCCAGATGAATTACTTGATGGGGTGTCTTTGAGCAGCAGAATCTGCTGCTGCTGCAGGTTTTGCTGCTGCTGCATTTTTTGTTGGTGCTTATTCTGCTGCTGCTTCAAGCATGCAAGAGCTGCTGCTAAGCAATAAGCAGCAGCAAACTCAGGAAAGGAGAATGATACACGATGTCCAACCAACTCTAACAACGCTACTTCTAATGCAGCTAATTCTCGCGGAGGAACCCCACCAACTAAAGCCCAGAGAGCTAAAGGGGTATGTGTGTCTCTTACAACCTTTGAGACAAGAACAAGTGCTGCTAGCAGCAAACGATGTGCATTACGCTTCGACAGTACTAGCTGCTGCTGCCGCTGCTGCAGGTGTGTCAGCAGCAGCAATGCCATCAGCATCTCATGCTCTGTTGCTGAAGCTAAATGCTGCAAACGCGTCACATACTGCCCCAGAGATAAAGGAGGCTCCGTGCTGCTGTTAAACAGACGCAGCTGCTGCTGGATACGAGCGCAACCTGCACACTTCCCCGCTGCTGTTGCTGTTGCTGTTGCTGCTGCTGCTGCTGCTGCTGCTGCCGTCGGGAAGCTCTCAGCACCACAATCACCAGAAGAACGCGCGGAACAGCTTCTACTCAACCCTTCCCCCCCAGAAGCTTCATCTGCTGCTGCTGCAGCAGCAGCACCTCCCGCTGCTGCAGAAGCAGCAGCTCCATCTGCTGCAGCAGTTCCATTATCTGTTGCAGAAGCAGCGGTTTCATTATCTGCTGCAGAAGCAGCTGCAGCATCATCGGCTACCGCAGCAGCAGCATCATCAGCTACAGCAGCAGCAGTACCTGCTGCAGCAGCAGCGGCATCATCAGCTACAGCAGCAGCATCACCAGCTACAGCAGCAGCATCATCAGCTACAGCAGCAGCATCATCAGCTACAGCAGCAGCAATATCAGCTGCTGCAGCAGCAGAAGCATTTGCTGCATCAGCCCCGAAAGCGGCTGCAGCTGGCTTTGCAGCTGCTACCCCTTCCGCAGATGATGAAGCACTCTGCTGCTCTCTAGACACCCTCTTGAGGGTCTTAGATAGGGCCTTTGCGTCTTTGTCAGAGGCCTGCTGCTGCTGGTCTTGCTGCTGCTGCTGTTGCTGGTCTTGCTGCTGCTGCTGTTGCTGGTCTTGCTGCTGCTGCTGTTGCTGGTCTTGCTGTTGCTGCTGTTGCTGGTCTTGCTGCTGCTGTTGCTGGTCTTGCTGCTGCTGCTGCTGCTGTTGCTGGTGCTGTTGCTGCTGCTGTTGCTGGTGCTGCTGCTGTTGCTGGTGCTGTTGCTGTTGCTGGTGCTGCTGCAGGTGCTGCGACTTCGTCTGCATTGCTTGCTGCCGCTGCTGCCTCTCTAGAAACCTCTTTGCTGCTGCTCTCTTGTGTCTACAGAGCGGTGCTCCGCAGCAGCTGTAGCTGGAAGCAGCAACAGCGAGGCTTGGCTGCGCTTGTGTCCCTGGCCATGAGCGGCGCTTCATCTTCCTCAGAGACTCCAGCATGCTGCTGCTGCTGCTGCTGCAGCTAATGCTGGTGATAGAGGTGCATCTGTTGTTGTGCTTCTGGCTCAGGGCAGCAGCTGCTGCTGCATGACGCGTAAATACGCCCGACGCACCATAACGCTGCTGCTGCGGTTGCTGCTGTTGCGACCTGCTGCGGTTGCTGCTGCTGCCACTGCTGCCACTGCTGCTGCAGCTGCTGCAGCAGCTGGCCGCCCCCGCAGCCACCACTTCTGCTGCTGTTGCTTCAGCTGTCTCTTCGAGTAGGCGCGAGCAGAGACTCCCATCACCAAGTAGGCTAGCTAGGGGAGAGGGTTGCTGCAGCACAGCATCAGCAAGTGCAGCAGCAGCATGCCGCTGCAGCGGCAGCAGCGCTAGCAGCACTGAATCATGCAGCAGCAAAGAGAAGCGGGCAGGGTTTTCACTGTAAAGGTGAGACAGAGCTGCGCCTATCCGTAAAGGCGAGCTAAATGCGCAGCACGCGCATAACCTGCCACTGCTGCTGCTGCTGCTGCTGCTGCTGCTGTTGCTGCTGCTCTTGCTGCTGCTGCTGCCAGTGTTGGTGCTGCTGCTGCTCTTGCTGCCGCTGCCAGTGTTGGTGGTGGTGCTGCTGCTGCTTTTGCTGCTGCCGCTGCCAGTGTTGGTGCTGCTGCTGCTGCTGCTGCTTTTGCTGCTGCTGCTGCCAGTGTTGGTGCTACTGCTGCTGCTGCTGCATGTGCGGGAGTTATCCTTGCTGCCCCGCACACAGGCTGCCTTTGTATTTCCCTCTTCTTCCTCCTGCTGCTGCTGTTGCTGCTGCTGCTGCTGCTGTTGCTGCTGCTGCTGCTGCTGCTGCTGGATGCAAGGGCAATGTGTGCAGTCGCACTCCTCCGCTCTAACCTGCGTTGCAATTTGCTGCAGCTGCTGGTATAGCTGCAGCACGCGGAGATGAACACGCTGCAGCGAAGCCCCTTCGCTTTCATCTTCTGCTGCTGCTCCTGCTGCTTCTGCTCTCTCTGATGTCCTCCCTAGCGGCATATCTGCTGTTGCTGTGTTGCAGCGGGGCCTCCTCAAGGCTGCCTCCTGCTGCGCCTCCAGCAGCAAGTGCTGCTGCTGATTTAATTCTAAGCTGCGCGTGCACATTGAAAGACGGTGTTTATTTCTGCTGCTGCAGGCAGCTGTTGTAGAAGCTGCTGCTGCTGCTGCTGCCGCTGCCGCTGCGCTGGTATCTCCGCTGCAGCAGCAACTGCTGCTGCTGCTGCTGCTGCTGCTGCTGCTGCTGCTGCTGCTGCTGCTGCTGCTGCTGCTCTCCACAACCAGCTCCATGTAGCGGACTGCCTCTCTAATCCACGGCCCCTCATCAACAGCTTCTTGTTTGTCTTCTCCTCTGCTGCGCCTCCAGAAGGGGCATGCGCAGTGGGTTGCTGCTGCTGCAGCAGCAGCAGCAGCAGCTGCTGCTGCTGCTGCATCTTTGTTGTCTAAGGAATGCTTGTGGGGCGGGGGGCAGCTCGCCCCCCCTAAGCAAGAATCATCGCTGCTGCTGCTGCTGCTGCTGCTGTTCCTCCACTCATCACTAGAACGGCATCTACCAAATACTAGCACTGGCGTTGTTTCTTCTTGTACATCGACAAAAGTGCTGTTGTAGCTGCTCTCCTCTTCAGCATTTTCCTCATCCTCCTGCTGCTGCTGCTGCTGCTGCACTTGCTGCTGCTGCTGCTGCTGATCTTGCTGCTGCTGCTGCTGCTGCTGATGCTGCTGATGCAGCTCGGTCAGGGAGGATGTGCTGTCGGGAGAGGAGGAAGCGCTGCTCTCAGGACTGCTGAGGCGCCATCGCTGCTGCTGCTGCTGCTGCTGCTGCTGCTGCGGTGCTGTGTCTTCTTCGATCTGGAATAGAGACGGCCCCGCTGCGCATAGTGATAAGTGTGGCGATAAAGAAGCTTCAAGGGAGTCGCTGCAGCTACTCTCCCTGTGCTGATGCGGCACGCTGTTGCCTTGCTGCTGCTGCCGCCGCCGCTGCTGGTGGTGCGGCTGAAGACGCTGCTGCTGCTGCTGCTGCTGCTGCAGCTGATGCTGCTGCTGTCGCAGCTGCTGTTGTTGCGGCTGATGATGCCGCTTATGCCGCTGCTGCTGATGTCGGTGTTGCTGCTGCGGCAGCTGACGGTGTTGTTGCTGCAGCAGTTGAAAGTTCTGCTGCTGCTGCAGTTGCTGCTGCTGCTGCTGCAGTTGCTGCTGCTGCTGCTGCTGCTGAGATTGCTGCTGTGGCTGCGAAGATGAATATATAGGAGTGTCTGGGGGAGTATGTCGCTGTCTCATTTTGCGGTAAGAAGAAATAATTGCTGCTGTTGCTGCTGCGCTGCCCTGCCGGTCGTGCAGCTGCTGCTCGCTCTCTCTAGGAGCCCTTCTACTTCAAAAAAAGAAGAGGGGGAGCAAACAGAGAATATGCACAGAATATTAAGGCCGGCAAAATAAATAAATTTGCCGCAAGCGGCGGCTTAAGAAGTAGGTAGAGTGTTTATAGGACCCATGAGGACGGCTCTCCTCTGTGATAGAGATAATATATATATATAATATATATATATAGCTGTAAAGAGGAGAGAATGAAAAGAAAGATAAAGATAAAAAGAAGAAAAAAAGAAAGAAAAAGAAAAAGAAAAAGAAAAAAAGAAAAATAATACAACGGCAAAAGAGTGTAAAGACTGCAGCAAGATATCTACAGCAACACACACAAGCAGCAGCAGCTGCTGCTGGGATTAATTTAATACAAATTATTTATTATGTGGGTTTTATAGATTAACCCTAACAAATATAACTCCTTTTAAAATATATATGAATTATTCATTATGCTCAACTTGCTGTAAACAGCCTGAAGGGCAACGAGCAGCAGACGCAGCAGCTTAACATAAGCTGCGAGCTGTACGTACACCTGAGATTATTAATAAGACTGTAGGGTAGAAACCCCTAGAAGAATAAAACATTTTTGCTGCTTTTCCTACTCTTATTAACTCAATATCCTTACGCCTTGCTGCTCCTGCTGCTCCTGCTCCCGCTGCAGAACCGCCTTACCCCTCAGCAGCAACAACAGCCAACAGGGGAGCGCTCCCTAGAACAGCAGCAGCAGCAGCAGCAGCAGCAGCAGCACTGCATGTGTGGGGTCTCTGTTAAGACAGAAGAAGCACCTCTTTTATTGTATTTTTTACATTTATCTTCTTATTCTTATTAATAACTTTGTTTTTCTATGCAGTTCTTCACAATATCTATACAACTCCTCCTACCTATATGTATACACCCAATCAACAAGCGCATAGAACAACAGATCAGCTGTACGTACACTCCCTCACTCTCGGGTTTAGGGTTTAGGGTTCGGGGTTTAGGGTTTGTTTAATACTGCTCAATTCTCATATTTTGTTTGCAATATCTTTTATTTTTTAAAGTTGCTGCGGCTCCCTGCTATTTTCTTACTTTTAAACAGCCCTTTACTATGTAAATGCTGTGTATATACACCGCGAGTATAGCTAGATCTTCATCGATATTAATTAATGTTATACTATATGCTTGTACTTATACAAGTATATATATATAGATAGACAGAAACAGCTCACTAGACCTATAACAGCTGTCTATACGCTTACACCGTATATTATAGAGGGCTTCTCTATGCTTCCTTGTGGGGTTCAAGTGCAGCAGCTGCTGCAGCAGTACGAGCTGCTATGCATAATAATAATAAAGCTGCTGTCTTATGTCCTTATTATCTACAGCCCTTTAAATGACTCTATAGACGGCCTCTAGATAATTAAGAGAAGTTCAGATGTCTTAAGGAGTGCTACTTACTTAACTTTTTTAACTCTAAAACACTATAACAATATTTCTGTAAGATTATCTTATATATATTACTTATATGAAATAAATACTTTATTAATCATAATGATAGTAATAAATTACTTCATTATTATTAGCATGTATTTATCTATTTATTTATTTATATTAAACAATAAATATTTTATTTAATAGAAATAAAATATATTATATAATCTTATATTATTTTATTATTTAGCCTGAGACTCTCCTTAGCTAAGATCGATGAATCTCCCCAAACAAACCATCACTTCATCGCTCTGTGGGGCAGCTGAAAGGAACCAACCCCACACCTTAAAGGCCTTACGAATAACCCTGCATATATATATATATATATATACATATATATATATATATATACACCTATATATATGCAGATGCATATCGATATACATATATATATATGCGTACTTGTATATACATATGTATATATATGCATATATATATGTATAAGTACATGTATATGTACATGTATATATATATATATATATTATATATATAAGCCTGAGTACTATTGAAGGCACTTATCTGTGACATCTTTTCCAGGACTGCAGTCTTCTCTTTCTTTTTCTTTTTCTTTTTTTTTTCTTCTTCTTCTTCACTGTGGAGATTGACGCGGTTATGCCTACGAGGGAGCAGCAACGAAGTGCTGTGCTCTTCTTTAAGTTAGAAGGACGGCAGTATTATATGCATTTAATTGAAAAAGAAATACCCTTACAGCAGCAAATATTACATGAAGAATATCTACGCCTTTATAGGCCATCTAGAGATGATAGACGAGGTAATGTGGGGAAAGTGATGAAGTTCTTTGCTCTTCTTTAGCTGCTTGTTTCTATTTTAAAGAGATAAGGCTGCTATTGGTTTATTTGTTATTACAAGAAGATGCACAACAATGGCAGCCACAAATATAGAGGGCATCACTTCTACGAATTATACCTGGTGTATGAAGGTCTTCTGAGATGCGCTGCGGTGTACGTTTACCCCCAGTTTCACGAATGAGTAGGTGAGGATACAGCTGAAGACTGTCTCTTCATTAGACATTCATTTAAGGAGACTGTCTCTTAAGGAGACTCTCTCTCTATTAGACAGCCTTAAGGAGACAGTCTCTTAGGGAGGCAATCTCTCAAGAAGATTGCCTCTTAAAGAGCCTGTCTCTTAAGGAGACAATCTCTTAAGAATAATGTCTCTCTATTAGACAGTCTCTTAAGGAGACAGTTCTCCATTAGAGAGTCTTCTAGGTAGACAGTCTTTTAAGGAGACTGTTTACTAAGGAGATAGCCGCTCTATTAGACAGTCTCTTAAGCAGACAGCCTCTTAAGGAAACAGCCTCTTAAGGAGACAGTCTCTTAAGGAGACCGTCTCCAGTCTCTCAAGGAGACAGCCTCTTAAGGAGACAGCCTCTTAACGAGACAGCCTCTTAAGGAGACAGTCTCTCAATGAGCGTAAGAAGCTGCTCTCTTAAGTGGACAGTGTCTCAAGTAGCCTCATAAGGAGAGAGTCTCTAAAGGAACCTATCTCTTAAGGAGAAAGCCTCTCTATCAGACAGTCTCTTGAGACAGCCTCTTGAGTATACAATCGTTAGAGAAGTCTCTTGGTAGGGCGCTATACTGATAATATATTACGGAGGAGTTGCTAGTGCTACTTAAAATAGTAAGAGAAGTGAAAGGCGTGAAGGCTGAGCTTGGCTGCCATTGTCTAGGTCTCTGCGAGAATGCTTTGCCGATGGTAGACGAGACACCTGAACTAACGAAGAGATGAAGTTAATATATGCATGCATAATTCAGAAGCAAGACCTATATCTATACCCTTGATAAAAGAATGTTATATTGAAGGGATACACCTCGAGATAATCCTTACATACCGTACGTAAATCAGTCCCTGCTAAGTGTAAACAAGAGAATAAACGCCTATATGCAGGGAAGCAAATAATCAGATGTACACCTTACAATGCATACAATATCATTTATACCTTCTACGGTGATAGGAATAAAATCAAAGGCTCGAAGCAGTGCAGAGACACTGCAGCAAACGACAAAGAAACGATGAGTATACACCAGAGACCTGTTTATTAGGTATATGTTAACACCTGAAGAACAGCAATAGCGAGAGCAGCTGAAGAAACAGAAGAAATTATCCTCAGATATATACATCAGAATATCAGCGGGCTGCACTCCTGCTGGGTGCTTCAACCATTAGTAGAGGTACAGACAACCGCAGCATCTTTTAGAAGAAATAGAAAGACAAGCTGAAGAACTGCTACGCTAAGGCAAAGCTTTACCCCCAACTAGGGCGTATGTAGCCATCTAATGCTGGTAAAGTAAAGAAGGGGGAGATGAAGCACAAGAGTATGCTTCAAGCCCTTCAACAAAATACTGCTTGCAGTGTTCAGCAGCTTGCATATCAGTAGACGTCTCTGAAGCATTTCTTTACGTTCATTTTGTCCAGAGACAAAAGACTGCATTCCATCCCCGCATTTGCAAACTTAAAGTGTTTGTTCTTCAGGATACACCTGATAGTTGCATCTGCTGAAGTGCAACGGTAAGCCAATTAGTAGTTTTTAAGTGTATCTACAGACTCCTAAGGGGGCATTTACTTCGCTGCTCAAATGGTTTACCTTTCCCTAACGCATCTAATGCACAGTTTAAAAGAAAAGAAAGAAAGAACGGTCATAAATATTCAACTGTACCAACAGTGCAGCTAACCTAAACAGAAGCTCTTACGCACTCTGCTAACTCTTTAAATGTTGATGTTGTTTACTCCTTTCTGCAGCTTTGCTTCACTGCCATGACTCCCCTTTCCTTTCTAATAGACCTTTATCTTCTTCTTTATATACTCGAGCTGCTGCTGCTGCTGTTGCTATACTCTGAAAACAGATACAGGTTAAGCACTGCAGCATAGAAGAAATCTCGTGTCGCACCTATTTGTGTTGGGTGTGCAGTCCTTTGAGCCGCAGCATTGTATATTTAATAATATATATTTATTTATATTTATGTATTTTATTTATTGTTTAATTTAAAATAATATGTTTCATCTCTCATCAATGCAATATCATACTGTGTGTGGGGTAAAACAGTTGAACAAACAACTGAGGTTGCTATATTATATAAATATAAATAATATTAAATATATTATATATATACAATATAAATAATATAATTTTAATCAAATAAATTATGCGAATAAAATAAATAAAATAAAGATAATTACTATGTATTGTATGCATCCGTGTATGCATTTGCTTGGCTGCTACTGCCCCTAGTAAGCAGCCCTACAATGTTATACTGAAGCACCCAACTATATATATATGTATATATATATATATATATATATGTATATATATTGTTATAAGTAGAGGTAATTATTATGAATATACAAATGAAATTAACAAGAAAATAATCTAAAGATAACCCAATAACAAAGAAATGTGTATATAGATATGCCCTCAATATATACGCAGCACCTTCAACATATACCCCTTAAAATAACAATAAAACCTCAAGGAATATTCTTTTATTCTTCTCTCGATCTAATACTTTTAAAGAAAGTGCAATAATAACAATAAACCCCTTTCTGATTTCTTCCACACACAGCCTTACTTATGTAGGCCCTATGTACCTACTGAGCACTTGTGAATTAATTGCATTATTTTCTATCTCATAGGGTTTAATTGATATATAATAATAATATATTTCTGCTTTCTTTGCTTTATATACCCTTACAACCTCCGCACTTCATAAGAAGCCAGTAGGCGTGCTCGCTCCTCTGTGCGAAACAAAAGTAGATAAATAAACAAATAAGTGAAGGTTTGTTTGATTCTTATATGCTTCAATTAATTCTATTTTGTCGTTTACTAAGTCATAAGTACCCATAAAAGGGCTCAACTGCACGCAGCCTACGCCAACAATCTCGACCCAAAACACTTCTTTAGCATAAGATATAAAAAACAACAATATAAAAAAGCATTAACACTTTCATATATATATATATCATATATATAGTACATATATATATATATATATCATATATATCAGCCCCAGCATCCACCATCCATAATATTCAAAATTTAAAGCAGGCAGTGCGTTGTTGTGCAATATTTTTCACACTGTATACTGAGAAAATTCATTAAAGTGGCTTTATTCCCTTCTCTGTGCGGAATATACTTATAATGCAGACATGGACACTTCAATATATATATATATATATAATATATAAATATATAGGTATATATATTATATATATATTGAAGTGTACTTATAAAGCAGACATGAACACTTCAATACACATATAATATATACACCTATATATATATATATATATACATATATATGCTCGCACCCAAAGGCAAGCTTATCTGTATGCTGCGATTCCCTTACCATTTCATTTGCTGCAGAAAGTTGGAAATGTATGAAGAAAGCACCGGAGTAGCGATCAAGGAACAAAGACAAACGATATTTGTTGTTCTGTACACAATAAAGAAAGTACCCGAGTATACGTAAAGCCTCATCGAGAAGTTGGGTGTACACCCAAAGAGTGTAGGCCAATGCCTTAAACAGTGAACAAACAGCAAAGGGCCCTACTTAACGCATGCAACCGTATTGACTGCATGCGCCCGTGAGCAGTAAAGTAAGAGCTGAAGTGGTAGGCAAGGGACAGCGATCGCATTAAACTTCATTTTATTAAATCTATTCGCGAGCTGTAAGAAGTGCTGAAGAGGGTATGCAATTAAAATGGCTGCATGCGTTAAGGAGGGGGATTTGTTGTTTGTTCTCTGTTTGGGGCTTTGGCCAACACTCTTTCGGTGTACACCAAAAGTGCTGATGAAGCCTTATACAAATATTATATTTCTTAAACAGTTCAGGGAATCGCAAATGCTGCCTCGAAGTCTCCCCACAAAAAGAGCAGCAGCAGCAACATTGCTGAAGGAGCAACTGAAGGATACTGATTTATCTTTCAAGCATCTTTATAGAGAAGCCTATTCCATAGAAAAAGATAATATTAGTTAAATCAACAGACAGCCGACCTACTTTGTGGGTTTCTGAGGATCGCTTACCCGAAGAAATTAGGAGCATTTCTATGCACCTCCTTCACTTCTTAAGATTGATAGCGTGGATATGTACACCGCATATTAAATTATTAAATTTAGCCCACCTACAAGATCAGCAGCAACAACAACACGTAACAGAGCAGCAGCAGCTGTCTGTACGCAGATGCTCTGCTATTTTACGTGTATAGAGGGGAGTAGAGCTGTTTATTTACTTGCTTTGTTCACCTAACTATTTTCTCGCACTGATCTCCTCTCTTCCTCTTCCCGATGGCTTCTTCGATTTTGTTGCTGTCTGCAACTTCATTCATATTCTCTCTACTGTGAGGGTGGCTGCCCCCCTATCTCCACCATTCACTGATGGTTTATACTGTCTGTACTTCACCTCCATATAATGTTGAAGTGAAACTCCGTAATTAAAGGCAGCTCCCAACATTAGAGTACAAGATGCAGAGAACCTTAGAGAGGCTCTGTGTGGACCACTGGTCACACCACTACGTGAGAATGCTGCAGAGGCATCAGGCTCTGCAGCAGCATCAGCAACAAGAAATAAAACGGCTGCTGATGCTGTTCGCAATTCAGATGCATACATTGCTTGGAGGCCAGCACAAGAAGGCGAGTGTTGTTTGTGAAGCGAGCAGAGGCAGCAGAGTGGATATGCTCTCTGAAGTTGGTATATGTTTGTTTATCTTTGCTTACAGGCTGGCTAGTGAGAGCGAAGAAAGTATTTAACAGGCCCTTTCAGAGTAAACGCATGCATCCATCAGAATGGGGCTTGCAGATGCCTTCATGCGAAGCCGCCCTGCAGCAGGCAGGAGCTGCAGCAAGAAGTGCTGCAACTGTCCTCAGTGGCTGCCTCCACCCCTATATATATCATTCCTATATATACTCAGGCCTAAATGCTGCTGTGGGTAGAGTGGTTACAGTTTGTAGGGTAGATAAGTT